AATGATCTTGTCTATAGCTGATTGATCATTTCCCGTTAACAGTAAATCGTCAACGTAAATAATTAAAAATAGATGGATATTACTTTTGTTGAGATATGAGTAGGGACAGATCAGATGTACTATGCTGAAAACCAAGCTCGACGAGAAAAGAGGTTAGCGTGTTATACCATTGCCTTGGTGCTTGTTTCAGACTGTAAATAGCTTTTAGAAGTAAGCAAACATGATTCATGTGTGAGGCATCCTCAAACCCTTGAGGTTGATGCATGTACACAGTTTCTGCTAGCGAGCCGTGAAGAAATGCATTGGCTACATCCAGTTGATGTACAGGCCAGTCATTGTGAAGCACCATGGTGAGAAGAATACGAATTGTTGGGAGTTTCGCCACTGGGCTGAATGTTTCAGTGTAGTCCAATCCATATTCTTGGTGATTTCCTTGCACGACTAATCTCGCTTTGTGTTTGGCTATGGAGCCGTCTGAGTTGAGTTTAATCCGGTATGTCCATCTGCTGCCTAGAACAGATGCATTTGGTGGTGGATGAACCAGGTTCCATGTGCCTTGGGTCTGTAGGGCGAAGAACTCATCTGCCATGGCACGTCGCCATTCGACTAACTTGCTTGCTTCAGTATATGAGGATGGAGCAACCGGTTCATCTGTAGTGGAGTGAAAAAGATTTAGGCGATGGATAGGTTTAAAAGTTACCCGATTTACCTCTTGTTATCATGGAGTGTTTGTGCTGAGGGATAGGTGGAGCTGTTGGACGGGATGGTTGACGGGTTGAGATTTTGTCTGTAGAGGTAACATTAGTTGCTGGTGTTTGAGTTGAAGGTGTAGGTAGTGTAGTAGCTGTTGGAGAGGGAATGATGACTTTTTGGGTGACCGAGACAGGAGTCAGGAATAGATGTGAATTTGGATCGGGCAAGTCAGCATGTTCAACTTTGATATCTGCAAAAGGAAAATAAGATTCGTCAAACGTGATGTGGCAAGAGAAGGAGACCTTGTTGGTGCCGATATGTAGACATTTATATCCTTTGTATGTATCTGAGTAGCCAAGAAAGACGCATGGCTGGGCTTTTGGTAGAAGTTTGTGGCATTGGGAAGGTGGAGTTAAAGGAAAACATGCGCAGCTAAATACTCTGATCGGGTTGTAATCTGGCTTAACACCATATAGCATTTCATGTGGAGAGATGTGGTTAATGGCTGTGTTCGGCAATTTGTTAATCAGGTATATCGAGGTTCTCATTGCATCAGGCCAGAATGTTAGGGGTAGGGATGCGGTGTGCAGTGTTCTCGGGGCCGGACCCCATACATCTGAGTGAATTAAAGCCAACGCAGTATGTGCACGATTCTTTGATAGCTCAATTGGAAGTTTGTGAGCTTTATTCATACGACAAGAATGACATACTAAATTGGATTTATGAATGTTTAAATGCGGATTACAAGCAGCTATGCGAGCTATAGTATTTTCGTTGGGATGGCCCAAATGGTCGTGCCAGATCGTATCTTTTTGCCTGGTGGTGTGTAGCGCCCTATAAGGGGAGGTAGTTGCCGGTGTGTGAATGGGATATAGACCATTCTTGCAGGGTCCTTTGAGCAAGATTTGATCAGTCTTCAAGTCCTTTAAAATAAACCCATTAGAATCAAAGATTATAGAAATGTTGTTATCACGAGTTAGCTGAGAAATAGAAATTAGATTGTAATGTAGTTGTGGAGTATGAAGTATATGAGATAGAGTCAGCTAACGAGAGGGAGTTGGTAGCAAGCCCTTGCCGGAATGAGCTATGCTAACATAACTCCCATCGCCGATGGTGATGCCGTCCGAACCTTGATACGGGCTGGACACTGAGAGATTTTCAAAGGATTTTGTCATATGGGAAGAAGCACCCGAATCAAGATACCATTCATTAGATGATGATTTTGAGTCAGCCGCAAGAGCCTTATTAGTTTGTGGTGCAGGCGACGACACGTACTGAGCGTTTAGCCTATGCCAACATTCCGATGCTGTGTGACCTCGTTTGAGGCATATCTGGCAGACCGGAAGCGGTTGAGACGATGTAGTTCTTGGTCCTACCGAGCGGGTTTTACCCCGACTGCCACGGCCTCTCGAGGAGAATAATGTCGTATCCTGTTGATGCGGTGTGGCAAACCGAGCTGCATCAGAGGCAATGTGGATCTCTTCGCTGATCAGTAGCGAATATAACTGATCAAGATTTAAAGATTGAGTCATGGTGCGTATAGTTGTTTTGAACGATTGATACGCAGGAGGAAGACCATTCAGTATGTGATGAATGATGTCTTCAGACTCTATTTGAGATCCGGCTGCCGAAATGCGATCAACCAGTGATTTGATGGTGTTGAGATACTGTATCATGGTGGAGTTTTGAAGAGAAGTGTTGTACAACTCATTCTTGAGTTGAATGACCTTGGATCTGTTCGTGGCTTGAAATCTTGTTTGAAGGGTGATCTAGATGGCAGATGTGGTTTCAAGATCAAGAACATAGGGAAGAATAGAGGCAGAGATAGTGGAGCAGATTGCTGCAGCTAAATTTTGATCATTAAGACGTCACTGCATATACTCAGGATTGGATCTTGATGATCCGGTGGAGGAGATGAGAAGTTTGTCCGGAATGGGATGATCCGGATCAAGATAAGAGTCAAAACTATTTGCTCTGCAGATCTTGAGGATTTGAGATCTCCAAAGCGGATAGTTATCAGGTGAGAGGGGATTTTGAACTATGTTCTTGAGGTTAGAAAGAATGAATTTGAGAGAGGAAGAAAGCGTCGGGAGAGCCGAGGAAGAGTCACCTTGGCGACTTTCGGTCGGAGGAGCGGTGGTGGAGGACGCCATAAGTCGCCGGATTCGTCAATCCTCGTCTGATACCATGTAGAAAGTACAGGAACTTGTGAGCCAAGTTCAGGAAATCCAGAGCATTGGACAGAGAGACACAGTAAAGATAGTAAAAGCAATAATTCTTTATTACATGTACAGGCTATCTATTTATAGGAGTAAAGGTAGTATATGTGGTAATATAAAAGGTTATACAGTTTTATATAATAGTTACATTAGTGTTCTCTAATATATCTCTCATTCCTCACTCTTCCTTCTTTGGCTCCTTCCTTGATAGAAAGTGAAATTAGGGGGGGGAGGAGATGGCTGAATGGAGGAGAATATATAATTCCATAATTATTATAGAACATAGAGCATCGACGTTGCTGTGTCAGATTTTGGAGCCCTCACGCTAAACCCTCCAGAGCAGCGTCGCTCAAAATCAAAGCGTCACAACGCCACAGTTTAGAACTTTCAAACTTTTTCAAATAAATCCATTTAAGAATTTTGGGTTGTTGTACTTACTACTATTAAAAATACCATCTTTTTGTCTTTAATGTTCTTGGACAAATGTTATATTGTCTCCTCATAATTTTTAACCCATAAAAAAGAGAGATTAACCCCACAAACTCTGGCCACTTAATATTTTTCGTTCATCTTCTTTTTTCTTCCTTCCAAATAAAGGACTAAACATACCATCTATAGTTTCTTGCCAACTATATGTCACCCAATTTTCCTTCTTTTCAATTAAATGATTGTCTTGACCATGTCTATTTGTCAATTCATAACAAGGCATCGAATCGCTCTTTGTAAGAAAGTGGATTTCCCTAATTTCCTTAAATCATTCATTGATTCAAGGTTGTGCAATTTGTCTTTCTTTTAGGAGAGGGCATTCAGCAACTCTTTCTTATCACTCACTATCTTTTGATAATCTAGTGGTGGTTCTTTTCCAAGATGGACAGCAGATGAAAATAGCATGCCCCAATCGGACCCTTAATAGATCCTTGAAATTCATTTACTTAGCTCTTATAGATATTATTTATTAAGAAGAATTTAGCTTCTCATCCAAGAGTTCTCGCCAAAGATTATCGAATGAATCTCCTTAATAAAACTCATCCATTCTTCTTACAAAGAGAAGCCATCAAGAGAATTCAATATTTACATGATTGGACATTATTATTAAATCCGACTCATTTATTAGACCATCAACTATATTAAGTTTCTTTTATACATTTTCATGGCAGCTTATTATATAGCATTTTTTATACAATCAAATCTATATCACATTTATAAATGGTGGCATCGATTAAATGAGAGCTGACATTAGTCTTTATTTTTGGAGCAAAATGTTAAATCAAAATGCCATATTTTCTCCAATTTATTGCCTTGATTTGACACATATTCTCTTTGGTTGTGCTAAAAAAAACTAATAAGGTCATCTAAAACCCTAATCAACTAAAGAGAATATTCAAACCCAATATTTCATTTTCTTCTCCGTCAAACTCTATTTGTGCATGAAATAAAAGGTTGATTTTTTGCATAAATATTTTTAAATACAATATAATTGTCTAATTATAAATGTATAATTAACCTTCTAGTCAGATAGGGTGTAACAAAACCAGTTATTATTGCAGTAGTAAAATTTTTTACGTAAAAAACCTTCATTTTAAAATTGTGGGAAGCAAGAGTCTAGTCAAAATTATGAACGAGAGTAGAGCGACCACATGTGGTTTTTTGATCGGCTGACAGACTCATCCCGCGCAACACCAAATCATTATAATTGCAACCTAATGCCGTTAATTATGTTTCGAAGAATGAATGGCTTCGAAGGCGTGCGTTGAATTCTAAAGGCATTATCAGTGCCGGTCAATTGATGTTTTTTCGCCGATTTTCGTTGATACAACGGTTCCGATTCGGGCGAGAAAGTCCAATCCGACATGAGGAGGTCAACTACTTACCCGGCTAACGAAGAAATTATAGCATTTTTTTTTTCTAAATTAAGAATTTTATCCCCAGTAAATATTCAATTCTATTTCAGTATTTCTCCCCCAAAGAAGCTCGCTGAACCAGAGAAGATGGTTTAATCAACCTAACTCAGGTCAACCCTAAAACTTAAAATTTTTTCCCATATAGAATTCAACCCTGCTGGTCCCGCCATCCACCCACCCCACGCTCTTCTCCACCCTGAAGTCAACTCCTTTCTCTCTCTCTCTCTTCCACCTCTCTCTCCAACTCCACTACTCACCACTTACCACTTGCTTTTGATTCCACTCTCCTTTCCAACCTCCGCGCTATTCTCTATCTTCCACCATGGGCAACGGTGTAGCCAAGCTAAAAAATTGCTGCTTTTCAGGTTACGGCGTCGCCGGCCACCGTCGAGAATCTGCCGCCGTAACATCGGAGCCGTACGACGAGGGTTTGGGCCACTCCTTTTTCTACGTCCAGACCGACCAATCCATCTTCCGGTCGGGGCCTTCAAAAGTCCATGACTCCGAGGAGACCACCACCTTCCGCTCTATCTCCGGCGCCGCCGTCAGCGCTAACACCGCTACTCCCCTCTCCACCGCTATCGACGCCGGCGCCGGAGCAGCCTTCGAGAGCTCGACCTCTTTCTCATCCGTCCCTCTCCAACCCATGCCCCGATTCTCCGGTCCACTCTCTGGCCCGCTTGCTGACCGCGGCTTCCTTTCCGGTCCTATTGAGCGCGCTGGGTTCATGTCCGGCCCACTGGACGGGGCTGTTAGCCGCCGCTCGGGCCCACTCCGACGGAGCTTTTCCCATGGCCTCGCTCTCCGCCGCCGCGCCGCTGCTTCGCTGCTTCGCAGCGTCACCTCAGCTATCTCCCGCTCTATCTCCGCCCCTATCAGAAAATCCGATTCATCTGGAAGCAGCTCCACGCTTCAACTGAATTCTTTCGCCGGCGGGTCTTCCGAATGCTACCACTGGGCACAGGGGAGAGCAGGGGAGGATCGTGTTCATGTTGTGATATCAGAGGAGCACGGGTGGCTCTTCGTCGGAATTTATGACGGGTTTAACGGTCCAGATGCAACAGACTACCTTCTTTCTAATCTGTACCCCGCCGTGCTGCAGGAGGTCAAGGGGCTGCTATGGGTTGAAGACAAAAAGGAAACTTTCGATTTTTCCTCCGAAGATCAAATCGCAGACAACTGTAAAAATGATTCCTTTACTAGTGAGATGACTGGTTTGGTGTCGCCGGAAGAAAACAAAGGGGAAGGAATCCAGAAGAGGAGGTCTTGGGGTCCAGCGAGAAAGTGTGAAGATAATCAGAAGAGATGGAAGTACGAGTGGTTTCGGGAGAGATTGGAATTGGATCGGAGCGTTAGGAAACAATTGAGCCGATCGAGTTCGAGAGGAATAGAGTCCCACTCCAAAGTGCTGAAAGCTCTTTCTATGGCGTTGAAGAAGACTGAGGAAGCGTTTTTAGAAGTTGCAGACACTATAGTATTGGAGAATCCGGAGCTGGCGCTCATGGGTTCCTGTGTGCTTGTGATGGTGATGAAGGGAGAGGATGTTTATATCATGAATGTGGGAGATAGCCGAGCAGTGTTGGGTAAAAAAGCAGAGCCAGATATTTGGGATTCAGTGAGGAATGAGAGGCTGAACTTGCAGAGTATAAATGAAGAGACTTTACATGATCTTGAGAATTATGAGTGCGGTGGTGATCATATGGATGGTTTGCAGAATCTTGTTTCCTTGCAGCTTACAAAGGATCACAGCACCAGTGTGGAAGAGGTAGAAGAAGATTTTGATTTGTCTGATCCTTTCTTTTGAGGTTTGATTTCAGTAAGATATTCAGAAATAATGTTTATATTTTTTGTCATTCAGGAAGTTAAAAGAATAAGGAGTGAGCATCCTGAGGACTCTTTAGCCATTGCAAATGACAGAGTCAAGGGATCATTGAAGGTGACAAGAGCTTTTGGAGCTGGGTTTTTGAAGCAGGTATATTCATGTCTTGTTATCGAATTTCTTTTAGTTAATTCAGGTTTTAAGCTTTTACATGCTTAATTATTACCAAATACTATTATATTTGATTCATATATGGAACCTGTTTGTGTTTGATCTAACAAATCTGTTATGTTTTTGGAGCAAAAATTGATGTGATTCTGCTTTTAGAAACCATTGAGTTTATTATTATCTATGGTAATATAGTTTATATCGTTTAGATTTTTAAGTGTTTGAGAGATAAAAAAGTTGAATTTATTAAGTTATGCAATATACTATTGAAGGAGAAACAAATTTCAAGCTCAACTCCTCTTTGTTTATTAATGTTAGAATTACTACTGTTGGATAAATAAAAAAAAAACTGTTCTTTGACAGATCAAAGACCCATGATTTCTAATAGCACTGTCTTGTCTTGAAGCTTAATCTATAATGATAAAATTGCCTAATCTAATCGGTTTTAGCTGACATGATCAACTTGAAAGGTTTTATTGATTTGGCAATGACCATTTTTTCAACTAGATAGATTTCTAACTAAGGCTTCATTTGGGACGGTTTTCTTACTGCTTCTTAAAACAGTTTTATAGTACAAAAGTTAAAATTTTTATACTCGAAAGCTGCTTTAAGAAGCAAACGAAGCCTAACTACTGTAGAAAAATGGGCATTATGCATTGTTTTAAATACTTCCTTCTATCTTGAGATCCTTAGAAATGTTCATAATTAGCATTGTAATTACAGTATTCCTTTTTTTTTTCTCTGATTATTTCTTGTCAAAATCTTGATATTTTCTTTCTTCTTCTTCTTCTTTCGTTCTGGTTTGCAGCCCAAATGGAATAATGCCATCCTCGAGATGTTCAGAATTGATTACATTGGAACCTCACCTTACATCACATGCAACCCTTTTCTTTATCATCATAGACTCAGCTCAAACGATAAATTTTTAATACTTTCATCTGATGGACTGTATCAATACTTCACAAATGAAGAGGCCGTTGCCGAGGTCGAATTATTTATTTCCACAAATCCAGAAGGGGATCCCGCTCAGCATCTCGTTGAAGAAGTTCTCTTCCGCGCAGCTAAAAATGCTGGTAAGATGATAATCAACTCTTCTATATAGAATTAAACAGCTTAAACCAAACACTATTTTTTTATTTTCCTGTGTTGAATATGCTTGCTTTTATTAGAGTTCTTTAATATTGTGGAGAATTTTTTTTTTTTTTTTGACATATATATTTGAGCTGTATTGTTGTTTTGATTGTAGGTTTGGATTTTTATGAACTACTGGAGATTCCGCAAGGAGATAGAAGAAGATATCACGATGATGTCTCGATCATCATCATCTCTTTTGAGGGAAGAATATGGAGATCTTGTATGTAAATAAGCAAAACTGTACAAGATATAGAGTTCAGAGTTTTATCAAAAAGATTGCTTCTTTTATATATTTATATATATATTTCCAATTCAATGTTATTATTGTGCCGGTTATTGTTGATTAAAGTACCAAATTAGAGAATGAAATAAGTTCTAATGTTATACTAAATTGTTCTATTATTCAGTTATATTGCCAAATTAGAGGCCAATTGTTCTCTTTTCCTTCCAAATCCTCTCTGAATATAATCAATATTATTAGTATTTTCTCTTATATGATATTTATTAGGGGCATTTGGATCAATGAAGGATGGTTATTCAGACAAACAGCGAGGTTTCTTTTGGGACAATTTTTATTGGTTTTTAAAATAATTTTTTAATACAAAACATTTAATTTTTATACTATAAAATAGCTTTAAGAAACAGTAAGAAAACCGTCCCAAACGAAGCCTAAATTTACTATTGGCATTTGAAATTGTGATAAAATATAATAAGACTATTGATATGTGAGCCCAAATATAAGCTGTCCAGTCTACAATGGTTAACTTATGTGATGCCCTGTTAGGAGCTTTTAAAATTTAAAATACCAGACTGCTTATTTTTAGATTAATTTAAACGGTTTTTTTTGGTGTATTTCTTAACGTATTAGTTTTACAGCAGATTAATTTTAATATTTTATACAGCACTTATCAAGCTAACAATAATTAGTTAGAATAAGACTAATTTGCTGATAAAGACTCGACATACAAAATAATTCAGGACAACAAAAGGAGAACATAAAAGATAAGATGTATTTGATTGGTTATCGAATAAATTAAGGAGATTTATTTTTGTATTTGGATTACTGTAAAATAAATCATTATTTTTTCCTACAACAATTTATTTTATTTTACACGATATTCAAAATACTTCAAATCAAATCACTCATAAATCTATTTTGAGATGAAATTTAATATTTTGGTCAGGATATTTGACTTTTTTTTTTCTTTTTATTAATTATAAAATTTTAAATAGGTTTTTGGGCTTTCATTACATTAAGAAAGGATTGAAGTTTATCAAAAAAATTATTATTAATAAAAATGATAGAATATTAATTACAGATTTTCTTATAAAGATAAAATATAAAGACGAAAGAACATATTTGAATAAATTTTTTTTATGTATAGATTAACATAAAAATGATTATATATGTATACTTTTGAAATCATAATTCTCACATCATTTTTTTTAAATATATATATATAT